GAGCAGTGCCCTGCCCAGGAGAAGCCCTTCCCCAGGAGGAATGTCCCTGCCCAGGAGAAGCCCTTACCCAGGAGCAGTGCCCTGACCCAGGAGAAGCCCTTACCCAGGAGAAGCCATTATCCAGGAGAAGCCCTTACCCAGGAGGAGTGCTCCTTCATCTGGTGCTGGTTGCTGTGGGGGCCGCTGGCGTGGCCCCTCCAGAAGCAGTTCTGGCACAGCTGGTAGTTGTGGCACTGCTGGCACCGGTACCGGAAGCCCATCATGCTCTCACAGTGGCAGTACGAGCACTCCACGGGGTGGAAGACTGGCAGAAAAACAAAGAAAATGAATTTTTGGTAAAGCTGGAACACCCCATTTCACTGGAGCTTGCAGATCCCCCCCAGCTCCTTCAGCACTCGGGGTCTGGGCAGGGTTTTGAGGGCAGAGCAGGGAATTTTGGTTCCATTAACCCCCAGATGAAGCTGATGGTGACACAGCAGTTCCAGCTGACAGGTTCTCCCAGTTTTCCTTCTGTAGAGGTTTCCCTCCTGAGCACACTCAGAGCTCCCCAGGGAAGTCCTGAGCTCAGGGGGGGGTCTGTCTGTCCACTGTCCCAGTGTCCAGCCTGGCCTTGGCACTGCCAGGGATGCAGGGGCAGCCCCAGCTGCTCTGGGCACCCTGTGCCAGGGCCTGCCCACCCTGCCAGGGAACAATTCCTCATTCCCAAGATCAGATGTAAATCTGGAGTCTCATTGATACTGAAATCAAAGGCTGTTTCCTACTGTGCCACATTCCAATACACTAATTGCTAATTAACTTACAACAAAGCTGCAGCACACCAGGAGGATTTGGCTGGATTGTGCCTAAGGAGATCCCTGGGGCCCTGAGTCACCTCTTCAAAAAGGACAATTCCTGGTCCAAACCCCCTTTGCCCCTCCCTCCTGCACCTCCACAGCTCCCAGTGAGGAATCCCCAGTGAGTGTGAACATGCAGAGAACTCAGAGCAGTCTGATTTGCACAGCACCATCAGGGCTGGGCCAAAATAAACACCAGTAAATGTTTCTTCCCTGTCCTACCATGGACAATCCCGCTCCACTGAAGCTTTGGGAAGAAACCAAAGAGGAATGTGAGCATGAGGGGAAGGAGATGAGACCTCCCCATGGCAAATGCATCCTGAAATGAGGGACAAAACAGAACCAGGGCCTGCCCACCCTGCCAGGGAACAATTCCCAATTCCCAATCTCCCATCCAGCCCTGCCCTCTGGCAGTGGGAGCCATTCCCTGGCTCCTGTCCCTCCATCCTTGTCCCCAGTCCCTCTGCAGCTCTCCTGGAGCCCCTCCAGGCCCTGCCAGGGGCTCTGAGCTCTCCCTGGATCCTTCTCCTCTCCAGGTGAACATTCCCATTCTCCCAGCCTGGCTCCATGAGAAGTCCTCCCCCACCTTGTCAGAGCTGTCCCTTCCCCTCCCTGGCTCCGTGCAGGCACCAGAGATTGCTGCTGATAAAAGGGCACAGAGGCAGCACAGAACCCAAACCCTGATTTCCTGATGAGGAGGGAAGGAATAATAACCCAAACCCTGATTTCCTGCACAGGGAAGGAATAATAACCCAAACCCTGATTTCCTGATGAGGAGGGAAGGAATAATAACCCAAACCCTGATTTCCTGATGAGGGAAGGAATAATAACCCAAACCCTGATTTCCTGATGAGGGGAGGAATAATAACCCAAACCCTGATTTTCTGATGAGGGAAGGAATAATAACCCAAACCCTGATTTCCTGATGAGGGAAGGAATAATAACCTGATTTCCTGATGAAGGGAAGCAATGTCTTGCTTTGGGTTTTTTGGTTGTTTTGTTGGGTTTTCGTTTGTGGTTTTTATTTTCTGGTTTTTTTCTTCATTGGGTTTTGTTTGTTTAGGTTTTTGTGGGGTTGGTTTGTTTAGGATTTTGTTTGTGGGGTTTTTCTTGTGGTGTTATTTCTGTTTGTGTTCATTTTTCTGCAAGGGCCACAGTTTAGCTTTGGACAGGAAAGACCCCAGTGAAGGGGAGCAGCCCCAGCTGGTCTCCTCCTGCTCCTGGATCAAACCAGGATCCCCCTTTTGCCCTGGAGTTCACCAACATTTTACCCAGATCCACCTCCTCACCTCCTGGGCATGATTTCCCACAGGACTCGACCCTGGGAAATTGCCATCATCAAAATTAACTCAAAAATCCCTCCCAGCCCATGGAGTGCCAGCTGTGCCCAGTCCCCACCTTGTCCCCAGCCCAGGGCACTCAGTGCCACATCCAGGTGACACCTCCAGGGATGGGCACTCCAAACCTCCCTGGGCAGCCCCTGCCAAGGCCTGAGCACCCTTTCCATGGGGAAATTCCTCCTGGTGTCCACCCTGAGCCTGCCCTGGCCCAGCCTGAGGCCATTTCCCCTTGTCCTGTCCCTGTTCCCTGGCAGCAGAGCCCGACCCCCCCTGGCTGTCCCCTCCTGTCAGGGAGTTGTGCAGAGCCACAAGGTCCCCCCTGAGCCTCCTTTTCTCCAGGCTGAGCCCCTTCCCAGCTCCCTCAGCCTCTCCTGGGGCTCCATTCCCTTCCCAGCTCCCTCAGCCTCTCCTGGGGCTCCATTCCCTTCCCAGCTCCCTCAGCCTCTCCTGGGGCTCCATTCCCTTCCCAGCTCCCTCAGCCTCTCCTGGGGCTCCATTCCCTTCCCAGCTCCCTCAGCCTCTCCTGGGCCTCCATTCCCTTCCCAGCTCCCTCAGCCTCTGGAACACTCAGAAATGCCATTTTTCTTCCACTAACTAGAATCCCTGGGGTTTGCAGTGCTGCTGCTTTCACAGCCAGCCAGCCCCACGCTCCCAGCTCTGACCAGCTCTGGGATGCTCTGGGCCAGCACTGACGAAGGCACAAGGTGCTGGCCCAGAGCAAGGACAGAGCCCTCCCACCTGTGTGAATCTTGCACTCACCATTCTCGACGTGGGCCAGTCTGTGCATGAGGGGCAGCCACACAAGGCACTGGGGAGGAGGGTCAGCCATCAGCGTGTCCAGGAACATGTTCAGCATCACCTTCTTCTGCAGGGAGAACACAGGCAGCGCTGGAGGGCAGAGCCACACGCGCATTTCCCACCACCAGGGCTTCTCCAGCCTGGCAACTTCTCCCTTTGTGCCTGCCAGGAATACTCCTGGACTGCCACAGTCGTGGGATCAGGGAATGCCTGGGGTGGGAAGGGATCTTAAAAACCACCCAGGGGCAGCCCTGCCATGGTAGGGACACTGCCACTGCCCCTGCATCCCTGGCAGTGCCCAAGGCCAGGCTGGACACTGGGACACCCTGGGGCAGTGACAGTGTCCCTGCCATGGCAGGGGTGGCACTGGCTGGGATTTAAGCTCCCTCCCAACCCAAACCATTCTGGGATTCTGAAAACATTTTTGGTGAGAGGAGTTTACACTTTTTTTAAGTCCCAATGTCCAACCTGGCCTTGGGCACTGCCAGGGATGCAGGGGCAGCCCCAGCTGTGCCAGGGCCTGCCCACCCTGCCAGGGAACAATTCCCAATTCCCAAGATCAGATGTAAATCTGGAGCCACATTGATTCTGAAATCAAAGGCTGTTTCCTACTGTGCCATATTCCAAATATGCTAATTGCTAATTAACTTATGTTTAGTCACTATAAATTTTACATCAAATGCTGCAGAAATGTTTCTGCTGGAGCATCATCATGCCCAGAGTCTAAACATTTAATTGAAGGCCTAAGATCAATCAAGTTCATGTTTACAGTTGATTTAAGGATTAGTTATATTATTTACATTACCCCAAAAGAGAAACAAATCATTGGAACAATTAAAATACAACTGCAATGGGTTTAAAAATAAACTGGTGCACAGAAGGTGTTTCTTTTGAACAGACCCTGGAAGTGACTTGTTAAACTAATTGCCTTAACACAGTGAAAAAACTCTGAAAAATCAAGGGGAAATAGTAAAAATGGCATGGTTTGTGTTTTGGGATAGAAATGAGCCATCCCTAGTGTTCTGATGGGGAACAGGGGAGGCCCCTCGAGGAGGGGAATCAGCTGAAATGACAGAAAATCCTTCAGTTGCTAATTTTGGACTGTTTCAAAGTGCTTGGGCTGTACAGGGGACCCCAGTGACCCCCAGCCCCGATGCCCCGGGAATCCCAAATCCTGAATTCCAAACCCCAAATCCCAGACCCTAGATCCTAGATCCCCAATTCCCGATCCCTGATTGCAAATCCTGAATCCTAAACCCCAAATCCCTGATCTCTAATCCCAGATCCATAATCCCTGATCCCAGATTGCTGATTCCAATCCCCAATCCCAGATCCCCAATACCTGATCCCAGACCCCCGATCCCTGATTGCAAATCCTGAATCCTATACCCCAAATCCAGAATCCCCAGACCCCAAATCCCAAATCCTAAATCCCCAGTCCCAGACCCCAATCCCTGATCCCAGACCCCAAATCCCGGATCCCCAAACCTCCGATCCCCAAATCCCACACCCCAAATCCCACACTCCCAATCCCAGACCCCCAGTCCTGAATCCCTGATCCCCAGTCCTAGACCCCAAATTGCAGACCCCCAACCCCAAATCCCCAATCCCCGACCCCCAATCCCAGATCCCCAATCTCCAAATCCCAGATCCTGAAATCTCAGACCCCCAATCCAGATCCCCAAATCCCCGATCCCCAATCTCCAAATCCCAGACTCCCAATCCCAGGCCCCAGTCCCAATCCCTGATCCCCAATCCCAGACCCCAAATCCCCAATCCCAGACCCCAAATCCCCAATCCCAAATCCCAATCCCCAAATCCCAGACCCCAAATCCCAGACCCCAAATCCCCAACCCCAAATCCCAATCCCAGACCCCAAATCCCAATCCCCAATCCCAGACCCCAATCCCCAATCCCTGATCCCCATCCCAGACCCCAAATCCCCAATCCCCAATCCCAAATCCCAATCCCAGACCTCAAATCCCCAATCCCAAATCCCCAATCCCAAATCCCAATCCCAGACCTCAAATCCCCAATCCCAAATCCCCAATCCCAAATCCCAATCCCCAATCCCCAAATCCCAGACCCCAAATCCCAATCCCCAATCCCCAAATCCCAGACCCCCAACCCCAGACCCCAAATCCCTGAATCCCAATCCCCAATTCCCAAATCCCAATCCCCAAATCCCGACCCCAAATCCCCAAATTCCCAATCCCCAAATCCCAATCCCCAACCCCAGACCCCAAATCCCTGAATCCCAATCCCCAATTCCCAAATCCCAATCCCCAAATCCCGACCCCAAATCCCCAAATTCCCAATCCCCAAATCCCAATCCCCAACCCCAGACCCCAAATCCCTGAATCCCAATCCCCAATTCCCAAATCCCAATCCCCAAATCCCGACCCCAAATCCCCAAATTCCCAATCCCCAAATCCCAATCCCCAACCCCAGACCCCAAATCCCTGAATCCCAATCCCCAATTCCCAAATCCCAATCCCCAAATCCCGACCCCAAATCCCCAAATTCCCAATCCCCAAATCCCAATCCCCAACCCCAGACCCCAAATCCCTGAATCCCAATCCCCAATTCCCAAATCCCAATCCCCAAATCCCGACCCCAAATCCCCAAATTCCCAATCCCCAAATCCCAATCCCCAACCCCAGACCCCAAATCCCTGAATCCCAATCCCCAATTCCCAAATCCCAATCCCCAAATCCCGACCCCAAATCCCCAAATTCCCAATCCCCAAATCCCAATCCCCAACCCCAGACCCCAAATCCCTGAATCCCAATCCCCAATTCCCAAATCCCAATCCCCAAATCCCGACCCCAAATCCCCAAATTCCCAATCCCCAAATCCCAATCCCCAACCCCAGACCCCAAATCCCTGAATCCCAATCCCCAATTCCCAAATCCCAATCCCCAAATCCCGACCCCAAATCCCCAAATTCCCAATCCCCAAATCCCAATCCCCAACCCCAGACCCCAAATCCCTGAATCCCAATCCCCAATTCCCAAATCCCAATCCCCAAATCCCGACCCCAAATCCCCAAATTCCCAATCCCCAAATCCCAATCCCCAACCCCAGACCCCAAATCCCTGAATCCCAATCCCCAATTCCCAAATCCCAATCCCCAAATCCCGACCCCAAATCCCCAAATTCCCAATCCCCAAATCCCAATCCCCAACCCCAGACCCCAAATCCCTGAATCCCAATCCCCAATTCCCAAATCCCAATCCCCAAATCCCGACCCCAAATCCCCAAATTCCCAATCCCCAAATCCCAATCCCCAACCCCAGACCCCAAATCCCTGAATCCCAATCCCCAATTCCCAAATCCCAATCCCCAAATCCCGACCCCAAATCCCCAAATTCCCAATCCCCAAATCCCAATCCCCAACCCCAGACCCCAAATCCCTGAATCCCAATCCCCAATTCCCAAATCCCAATCCCCAAATCCCGACCCCAAATCCCCAAATTCCCAATCCCCAAATCCCAATCCCCAACCCCAGACCCCAAATCCCTGAATCCCAATCCCCAATTCCCAAATCCCAATCCCCAAATCCCGACCCCAAATCCCCAAATTCCCAATCCCCAAATCCCAATCCCCAACCCCAGACCCCAAATCCCTGAATCCCAATCCCCAATTCCCAAATCCCAATCCCCAAATCCCGACCCCAAATCCCCAAATTCCCAATCCCCAAATCCCAATCCCCAACCCCAGACCCCAAATCCCTGAATCCCAATCCCCAATTCCCAAATCCCAATCCCCAAATCCCGACCCCAAATCCCCAAATTCCCAATCCCCAAATCCCAATCCCCAACCCCAGACCCCAAATCCCTGAATCCCAATCCCCAATTCCCAAATCCCAATCCCCAAATCCCGACCCCAAATCCCCAAATTCCCAATCCCCAAATCCCAATCCCCAACCCCAGACCCCAAATCCCTGAATCCCAATCCCCAATTCCCAAATCCCAATCCCCAAATCCCGACCCCAAATCCCCAAATTCCCAATCCCCAAATCCCAATCCCCAACCCCAGACCCCAAATCCCTGAATCCCAATCCCCAATTCCCAAATCCCAATCCCCAAATCCCGACCCCAAATCCCCAAATTCCCAATCCCCAAATCCCAATCCCCAACCCCAGACCCCAAATCCCTGATCTCAAATCCCCAATTCCCAAATCCCAACCCCCAAATCCCGACTCCCAATCCCCAAATCCCAGACCCCAAATCCCAATCCCCAATCCCAGACCCCAAATCCCCGACCCCAAATCCCTGACCCCAGACTCCAAATCCCCAATCCCCAACTCCCCAATCCCCAATCCCAGACCCCAAGTCCCTGACCCCAAAGCCCAATCCCCAATCCCCGATCCCAAATCCCAGACCTCTAATTCCCGATCCCAAATCCCAGACTCCAAATCCCCAGTCCCAAATCCCAGACCCCAAATCCCAATCCCCAAATCCCCAATCCCAGACCCCAAGTCCCTGACCCCAAAGCCCAATCCCCAATCCCCGATCCCAAATCCCAGACCTCTAATTCCCGATCCCAAATCCCAGACTCCAAATCCCCAGTCCCAAATCCCAGACCCCAAATCCCAATCCCCAAATCCCCAATCCCAGACCCCAAGTCCCTGACCCCAAAGCCCAATCCCCAATCCCCGATCCCAAATCCCAGACCTCTAATTCCCGATCCCAAATCCCAGACTCCAAATCCCCAGTCCCAAATCCCAGACCCCAAATCCCAATCCCCAAATCCCCAATCCCAGACCCCAAGTCCCTGACCCCAAAGCCCAATCCCCAATCCCCGATCCCAAATCCCAGACCTCTAATTCCCGATCCCAAATCCCAGACTCCAAATCCCCAGTCCCAAATCCCAGACCCCAAATCCCAATCCCCAAATCCCCAATCCCAGACCCCAAGTCCCTGACCCCAAAGCCCAATCCCCAATCCCCGATCCCAAATCCCAGACCTCTAATTCCCGATCCCAAATCCCAGACTCCAAATCCCCAGTCCCAAATCCCAGACCCCAAATCCCAATCCCCAAATCCCCAATCCCAGACCCCAAGTCCCTGACCCCAAAGCCCAATCCCCAATCCCCGATCCCAAATCCCAGACCTCTAATTCCCGATCCCAAATCCCAGACTCCAAATCCCCAGTCCCAAATCCCAGACCCCAAATCCCAATCCCCAAATCCCCAATCCCAGACCCCAAGTCCCTGACCCCAAAGCCCAATCCCCAATCCCCGATCCCAAATCCCAGACCTCTAATTCCCGATCCCAAATCCCAGACTCCAAATCCCCAGTCCCAAATCCCAGACCCCAAATCCCAATCCCCAAATCCCCAATCCCAGACCCCAAGTCCCTGACCCCAAAGCCCAATCCCCAATCCCCGATCCCAAATCCCAGACCTCTAATTCCCGATCCCAAATCCCAGACTCCAAATCCCCAGTCCCAAATCCCAGACCCCAAATCCCAATCTCCAATCCCCGACCCCAGATCCCCGACCCCAAATCCCGACCCCAAATCCCCAAATCCCAGTCCCAGTCCCGCCCCTACCTGCTGGGGGAAGCAGGTGCGCACCGAGTGCTCGGTGTAGCCGAAGGAGGGCCCCTCGAACACGGCCGTGGGCAGCTTCAGCACCTCCCGCAGGAACTGCTCAAACTTGGGGAAAACCAGCAGCCCGTTGGAATCTGAGATCTGAGAGAAAATATCTGTAAGAAAATACAATAAACCCCCCCGTAAATATGGGATCACTGCGGGCACAGCCCCCTGCACCCCGAGGGGTGTCCCCGACGGCGCTGCTGCCAGGACGGGATTGATCCAGCTCAGGGCTCCCAATCCCCTTCCCTCCAGCCCGGGATTTATCCAGCTCGGGGCTCCCAATCCCTTTCCCTCCAGCCCGGGATCGATCCAGCTCGGGGCTCCCAATCCCTTTTCCTCCAGCCCGGGATTGATCCAGCTCAGGGCTCCCAATCCCCTTCCCTCCAGCCCGGGATTTATCCAGCTCGGGGCTCCCAATCCCTTTTCCTCCAGCCCGGGATTGATCCAGCTCAGGGCTCCCAATCCCTTTTCCTCCAGCCCAGGATTGATCCAGCTCAGGGCTCCCAATCCCTTTTCCTCCAGCCTGGGATTGATCCAGCTCAGGGCTCCCAATCCCTTTCCCTCCATCCCAGCCCAGCCTGGGATTTATCCAGCTCAATGTGGTGGGATTCTATGGGGTGGGATTCTATGGGGTGGGATTCAATGGGGTGGGATTCAATGGGGTGGGATTTAATGAGGTGGGATTTAATGGGGTGGGATTCAATGGGGTGGGATTCAATGGGGTGGGATTCAATGGGGTGGGATTCAATGTGGTGGGATTCTATGGGGTGGGATTCAATGGGGTGGGATTTAAGGTCCCTTCCAGCCCAAACCATTCTGGGATTCTGAGACCATTTGTGATGAGAGGAGTTCACCCTTTTTAAGCAGCTCTGTGGGGACAGATGTGCTCCTGAGAGCAAAAAGGGGCTGAGCAGATGTGCCCTAATGTTTGTAAGGATGGAGGGAGAAGAGGGAGGTGCTGCAGGTGCCCCACTCCCTGAGCCCTGGGGTCCCTGGCCCCCTCCCCAGAGCTCCAGCCCCAGGGGCAGGGTGCAGAGAGCACGAGAGCAGGACAAAATCCCAGCAAACAGAACTGTCCTGGGATCCAGAATCTCCTTGGAGAGATCTCACACAGCCAGCTGAGGCACACCCAGAGTCAGGCATGCTCCACAGGGGGGTTTCACCCATGGGAACACAACCTAGAATTCCCCAGGGTGTGACAGATCCCAGATCTCCTCCGTGGCACCGAACCCTCCCTGCTGTTATTTCAGGCACCAGCGGTAATTAAACATCAAAAAGCTCATGCTGGCAGAAAACAACCTTCATTCCAGTGATCAAAACCAGCTTCAGAAAAAAAGGCACTTTCAGAGAGGCACATTTCCAGTAAACTGGAGGAATTATCCCAATTTCCTGAAAGAATGAGCTCAGGAAGAAGCCTGCAATGCCTTAGTTAAGAGGGATGAAGATACCTGGAATCTGTATCACTGACTGAACAGAGCAGCTTGAACTGAAAGTCTCTTGAATAATGTTATAAAAGAAAACATATTAGGAGAAAAAAATTTAAAAATATTTAAAATGCTGCATTTGTGTATTTTAGGAAAAAAAGCCAGCCAGAAAAATTAGACTTAACCTAGAAACTGAATGTGGAAGAAAAGTCAGGATGAAAATGCACACAAAACGAAAACAATGGGAACAACTGAAATTAGAGAGCCAAAATTCCAGAATCCATTCTGGAGCAGAATCCTCTGCACAGGAGCTGCAGGTCTGCAATGAACCTGGCAGGGTGGGAAGGATAGGACACAGCAGGGCCACGACACAATTGCATTTAAAATGGGCTGAAACCTCCTGGGTGTGCTCAGGACATTCACCTGAGCTGAGCAGGCAGCAGCAGTGAAGGGATCCTCAAGAGAAAGAAATCCAAGCTATGGAAATCTGAAAATGAGAGACAACAGCCCAGGCTGTGCCAAGGGGAAATTCAAAACCTCCCTTGCAGGTTAAAAAGTGGATTTATTGTCAAGGTGGGAAACTTCCACACGGGGAACTGGCGGTGAAATTGGAAATGATAAAAAGCAGGATATAATAAAGAAAAATGAATAAATAAAAAAGCATCATAACCTTTCAAAGGGCAGCTGGTGAGAGGATGAGAGGGAGCAGCCTTAGGCTGGACATCAGGAGGAATTTTGCCTTGGAAAAGGTGCTCAGACCCTGGAGGTGCCCCAGGAAGGGCTGGAGGTGGCACTCAGGGCTCTGGGGACAAGGTGGGCACTGGGCACAGCTGGGACTGCATGGGCTGGGAGGGATTTCCATCCTCAGGGATCCTGGAATCCCTGCCTTGCACAGCCCCACAAGGAGAGCACGTCCCAGAAAATTCCAGAGCCAGGGAAGGGCCCCTCTGAAGCTCCCCCAGCCCCTCAGTGCCACTCCCAGGACACTGTCCTGTCCCCATCACTCACAGGGACCATGGCATGAGAACACACTAAAAACAACTGGCAGGATCTGCAGGAACCTGCTCAGGGAAGGGAGGCCGGGCTGGGATCTTCTGGACAAGGAGGTTTTGGGGGTGAAGTGGGTCAGTAATCAGGGAGAGATGTGGGAAATGGATTTGTAAAGAACAAAACAAGGCCAGATATTTTGTAGAATTAGAACTGTGAAAGATGCATTGCAGCAAGACAATGTGGAGAAAAAACAGAGGTGATTTGTGTTAGAAGTAACAGCAGCACTGTGTGGCAAAAGTTAATAAGCTAAAAAACATTTCTAAGGTATTGTAACCAAGAAATGGATTGGCTTCTGATGGAATGGCATTGAGTTGAACTCACTATTCACCAAGACTGATAATAGAATAAAATCTTTTAAAACACCTCTCAGGTGTCCTGTCTCTGTAAAAGCTGGGAAAACCAACAGGAAGGAGAAGGGGAAAGCCAAGCAGCAGAATCATAATGCTCAGAAGAAATCCAGACCAAAAGTTAAACATGCCAAACTTCTGCAAGGCTCAAGTGGTGTTTAAAGAAAAAAGTTCATAAAGCAAACAAAACTCCAAAGAACCTACAGGCCATGATATCCAACAGCAAGACTGCTTTTGCCATGTGGAAATTTCTAATTATAACCACACACAAAACAATTCCTTCCAAATCCAGTCAGAATCTTTCCCACCTCGTCCCTAGAGACTAGATTTACCCAATCCTGTTTTTAAGACTTTTTAAGCATTTTTAAGCAGGCTGCTCCTCCCCAGAGCAGATGGCTGGGCAGGAACATTCCCTGTGAGAGCCCTGGTGGATGTGCCTGCTCTGGAAGTGGCTCCAGGAGCAGCCAGGGGCTGAGGGGGCTTCACACCCACCACAGGGGAAGGAAGGAGCAGCTGTTTGCAGCTCCCCATCCTGCTCAGGGTTTTCCAGAACTTTTCCAGCAGCAGATTTGCGTCCAGCTGGAGGAATGCTGCTCTGTGTGCTCGTCCAGCAGGATGTGGGGTTTGGGGTGTGGGTCAGTTCCATCACCCCAGAGCTGCTCAGAGCCCAGGGGGCAGCAGGGCTCAGGGCAAGGGACAGGGCTGGCAGCAGCCTGGACACTGGGAAGTGTCCCAGGTCCCTTCCAACCCAAACCATCCTGGGATTCTACCCCAGCAGCTGGGATTACAGAGTGAGAAGGTGCAGAGAGCCTCAGGGGGAGCAGGAGAGTCACAGGAGCCTCCAACAGCCTCAAAGCAGGGAAATGGTGACAATTGGGACATTCCCATGGGAAAAGCAGCCCTCAGGTTCTCCATTTAAAGTGCCCAAGAGCTTAAATTGAAGGAATGGGCTTGGGAAGGCTCCTCAGTCCTGGGATAACCAGGAGCATGGAACAAACATCCCTGGAGGCGTCCCAGAAGGTCTGGATGTGGCACCCAGTGCTCTGGGGACAAGGTGGGGACTGGGCACAGCCTGGACTCGGTGGGCTGGGAGGGATTGTCCCACCTGAATGACTCTGGAATTCTGCACAGCACAGCTCCAGCTCAGCAGGAAGACCACAAAATCAGCAAAATAAAACCCTTCAGAACTGAAAACAAGAAACAGAGGAAAGGAAAGAGTCCCTAAAGGCTGGGACTCCTCGGGGTACTCACATCTGAGCTTGTCCAGGATCTTCCCCCCACACATGGTGGCCAGCATGGCTTTCACTGAGAACACTGTCAGCTTCCCATGGCCCTCACTGCAGGGAAAGGCACCTGTGAGAGCTGCACAGGCACGGAGCAGCAACACCCAGAGCCCCAGAAACCATGGGAACAACAACCCCCAGAGTCCCAGAAACCATGGGAATAACACCCAGAGCCCCAGAAACCATGGGAACAACCCCCCAGAGCCCCAGAAACCATGGGAATAACAACAGCCACCCCAGAAACCATGGGAATAACAACAGCCACTCCAGAAACCATGGGAATAACAACACCCAGAGCCCCAGAAACCATGGGAATAACAACACCCAGAGCCCCAGAAACCATGGAACAACAACACCCAGAGCCACAGAAACCATGGGAACAACAACACCCAGAGCCCCAGAAACCATGGGAGCAACACCACCCAGAGCCCAGAAACCATGGGAACAACCCCCCAGAGCCCCAGAAACCATGGGAGCAACACCACCCAGAGCCCAGAAACCATGGGAACAACCCCCCAGAGCCCCAGAAACCATGGGAGCAACACCACCCAGAGCCCAGAAACCATGGGAACAACCCCCCAGAGCCCCAGAAACCATGGGAGCAACACCACCCAGAGCCCAGAAACCATGGGAACAACCCCCCAGAGCCCCAGAAACCATGGGAGCAACACCACCCAGAGCCCAGAAACCATGGGAACAACCCCCCAGAGCCCCAGAAACCATGGGAGCAACACCACCCAGAGCCCAGAAACCATGGGAACAACCCCCCAGAGCCCCAGAAACCATGGGAGCAACACCACCCAGAGCCCAGAAACCATGGGAACAACCCCCCAGAGCCCCAGAAACCATGGGAGCAACACCACCCAGAGCCCAGAAACCATGGGAACAACCCCCCAGAGCCCCAGAAACCATGGGAGCAACACCACCCAGAGCCCAGAAACCATGGGAACAACCCCCCAGAGCCCCAGAAACCATGGGAGCAACACCACCCAGAGCCCAGAAACCATGGGAACAACCCCCCAGAGCCCCAGAAACCATGGGAGCAACACCACCCAGAGCCCAGAAACCATGGGAACAACCCCCCAGAGCCCCAGAAACCATGGGAGCAACACCACCCAGAGCCCAGAAACCATGGGAACAACCCCCCAGAGCCCCAGAAACCATGGGAGCAACACCACCCAGAGCCCAGAAACCATGGGAACAACCCCCCAGAGCCCCAGAAACCATGGGAGCAACACCACCCAGAGCCCAGAAACCATGGGAACAACCCCCCAGAGCCCCAGAAACCATGGGAGCAACACCACCCAGAGCCCAGAAACCATGGGAACAACCCCCCAGAGCCCCAGAAACCATGGGAGCAACACCACCCAGAGCCCAGAAACCATGGGAACAACCCCCCAGAGCCCCAGAAACCATGGGAGCAACACCACCCAGAGCCCAGAAACCATGGGAACAACCCCCCAGAGCCCCAGAAACCATGGGAGCAACACCACCCAGAGCCCAGAAACCATGGGAACAACCCCCCAGAGCCCCAGAAACCATGGGAGCAACACCACCCAGAGCCCAGAAACCATGGGAACAACCCCCCAGAGCCCCAGAAACCATGGGAGCAACACCACCCAGAGCCCAGAAACCATGGGAACAACCCCCCAGAGCCCCAGAAACCATGGGAGCAACACCACCCAGAGCCCAGAAACCATGGGAACAACCCCCCAGAGCCCCAGAAACCATGGGAGCAACACCACCCAGAGCCCAGAAACCATGGGAACAACCCCCCAGAGCCCCAGAAACCATGGGAGCAACACCACCCAGAGCCCAGAAACCATGGGAACAACCCCCCAGAGCCCCAGAAACCATGGGAGCAACACCACCCAGAGCCCAGAAACCATGGGAACAACCCCCCAGAGCCCCAGAAACCATGGGAATAACAACAGCCACCCCACAGACCATGGGAACAACAACAACAACCACCCCAGAGACCCAGAACCCCAGAAATCATGGGAATAACAACCACCCAGAGCCCCAGAAATCATGGAAACAACAGCAGCCACCCTCTCCAGTAACTCCCAGCATTTCAAGGAGCTGGAACTAAACGTGCTGGCCAGGGAATTTGGACTGGCATGTTAAATGCAGAGATGGGGAAAGCCCAGGATGAGTGTGGGGAGAGCTGGAAAAGCAGGAATCCCCTGAAGGGAGCTCTGAGAGAGCTGAGAGGGGCTTTGGACAAGGGTCTGGAGGAGCAGGACCCACAATGGTTTGGGTGGGAAGGGACCTCAAAGCTCAGCCAGTGCCACCTCCAGCCATGGCAGGGACACTGCCACTGTCCCGGGACAGAATCCCCCTCGCCTGCTGCCCACACTGGGGGATCAGCCCAGGGCAAAGCTCTCCTGGAAATTCCCTCCTCCCTAAGTCACAGCCTCAGCCCCCTCCCTTCCACTCTTTAACAGCCATGCATTTTACATCAAAGTTCAGCTTGGGATTAGTTCCCAGAAAAAGCAGTGCCCAAAGCCATCAGTGCCCCCTCCCAGGACACAGCCTGTGCTTGGAAAGATCTCTCCTGGTGCCCCCAGACACTTGGCCTGCCCCCTGACACTGTTTATAATCACCCAAACCCCAAACTCTTTCCTGGAGCAGCTTCTGAGGAGCTTGCCCAAGCCCCTGTGCCATTCCACCTGAATTCCATCAGGAGGAAAAAGGGCAAAACCTTCTGTATGATTTTGAATCTCCTTTAAGAGGAGATTTAAACCCAGGAATGGTCACAGCCCTGGAAGCAGAACTGGGGACTGGTTGCACACAATCACAGAATCATGAGGTTGCAAGAGACCTCTAAAACCATCGAGTCCAACCTGTGCCCCAATACCTGAACTCAGAATCTGGACTGTAGCACCAAGTGCCATGTCCAGCCTTTTTTAAACACACCCAGAGATGCTGATTCCACCACCTCCCTGGGAAGAGCATTCCAGTGCTTCATTATTCTTTCAGTGGATTTTTTTTTTCCTAATATCCAACCTACACCTTCCCTGACATAGCTGAGAGTGTGTCCTCTGCTTCTGTCAGTGGAAGAGACCGACCCCAGCTGTGTGCAACCTCCCTTCAGGGAGCTGTAGAGTGCAATGGGGTCACCTCTGAGCCTCCTCTTCTCCAGGCTAAACAACCCCAGCTCCTTCAGGGAGCTGTAGAGAGCAATGGGGTCACCTCTGAGCCTCCTCTTCTCCAGGCTAAACAACCCCAGCTCCTTCAGGGAGCTGTAGAGAGCAATGGGGTCACCTCTGAGCCTCCTCTTCTCCAGGCTAAACAACCCCAGCTCCTTCAGGGAGCTGTAGAGAGCAATGGGGTCACCTCTGAGCCTCCTCTTCTCCAGGCTAAACAACCCCAGCTCCTTCAGGGAGCTGTAGAGAGCAATGGGGTCACCTCTGAGCCTCCTCTTCTCCAGGCTAAACAACCCCAGCTCCTTCAGGGAGCTGTAGAGAGCAATGGGGTCACCTCTGAGCCTCCTCTTCTCCAGGCTAAACAACCCCAGCTCCTTCAGGGAGCTGTAGAGAGCAATGGGGTCACCTCTGAGCCTCCTCTTCTCCAGGCTAAACAACCCCAGCTCCTTCAGGGAGCTGTAGAGAGCAATGGGGTCACCTCTGAGCCTCCTCTTCTCCAGGCTAAACAACCCCAGCTCCTTCAGGGAGCTGTAGAGAGCAATGGGGTCACCTCTGAGCCTCCTCTTCTCCAGGCTAAACAACCCCAGCTCCTTCAGGGAGCTGTAGAGAGCAATGGGGTCACCTCTGAGCCTCCTCTTCTCCAGGCTAAACAACCCCAGCTCCTTCAGGGAGCTGTAGAGAGCAATGGGGTCACCTCTGAGCCTCCTCTTCTCCAGGCTAAACAACCCCAGCTCCTTCAGGGAGCTGTAGAGAGCAATGGGGTCACCTCTGAGCCTCCTCTTCTCCAGGCTAAACAACCCCAGCTCCTTCAGGGAGCTGTAGAGAGCAATGGGGTCACCTCTGAGCCTCCTCTTCTCCAGGCTAAACAACCCCAGCTCCTTCAGGGAGCTGTAGAGAGCAATGGGGTCACCTCTGAGCCTCCTCTTCTCCAGGCTAAACAACCCCAGCTCCTTCAGGGAGCTGTAGAGAGCAATGGGGTCACCTCTGAGCCTCCTCTTCTCCAGGCTAAACAACCCCAGCTCCTTCAGGGAGCTGTAGAGAGCAATGGGGTCACCTCTGAGCCTCCTCTTCTCCAGGCTAAACAACCCCAGCTCCTTCAGGGAGCTGTAGAGAGCAATGGGGTCACCTCTGAGCCTCCTCTTCTCCAGGCTAAACAACCCCAGCTCCTTCAGGGAGCTGTAGAGAGCAATGGGGTCACCTCTGAGCCTCCTCTTCTCCAGGCTAAACAACCCAAATTCCCTCAAACGTTCCTCACAGGGCTTGTGTTCCAAGCCCCTCACCAGCCTTGTTGCACTCCTCTGGATGTGTCCAAGCCTCTCAACATCCTTCCTAAACTGAGGGGCCAGAACTGGACGCAGTTTTAAGTCAGGCCAGGCCTGTGAGGCTCCTTCCTCACCCTCCCCATGCTCCCAGCCTGGCTCTGCAGCAGGTCCCACAGCAGGGATGTCCACTGGATCTGCCACTGATGCCAACCCCAGCTCCTCACCCAGCCCAGGCAACTGCCCCTGCCCTGTTGGCCCTGCCAGGGCCCACTGCAGCACCCCAGCTGTGCCACAGCTGCATTCCAGCTGTGCCAGAACCCAAATTCCTCCTCAGGGCACCCAGCCAGGCAGAATCCCCAGGAAGGGCACCCTAGGCAGCTGGGGCTGCCCCTGGATCCCTGGCAGTGCCCAAGGCCAGGCTGGACACTGGGGTTGGGAGCACCTGGGACAGTGGCAGTGTCCCTGCCATGGCAGGGTGGCACTGGATGACTGGTACAGTCCCTTCCCACCCAAACCACTGCAGGACTCTGGGACTGTACCTGCCAAGGGGAATGTTAAAGGTTCTGATGGTGCCACCAGCACCCTCTGTGAGGACTCTGTGACTCTGAGCATTCCAGCAGGGATGGGCATTTTTATACAATCCCTGCCTGCCGTGCTGCTGAGCTCCTGGAGAGGGAGCCTCAGCCCTGCCCTGCTCTGCCTGAGCCCTGCCCTGCTTCATCCCTGCCCTGCTTCATCCCTGCTCTGCCTGAGCCCTGCTCTGCCTGAGCCCTGCCTCACCCCTGCCCTGCCTCAGCCCTGCCCTGCTCTGCCTGAGCCCTGTCCTGCTCTGCCTGAGCCCTGCTCTGCTTCATCCCTGCCCTGCTTCATCCCTGCTCTGCCTGAGCCCTGCCCTGCTTCATCGCTGCTCTGCCTCAGCCCTGCCCTGCCCTGCCTCAGCCCTGCCCTGCTCTGCCTGAGCCCTGTCCTGCTCTGCCTGAGCCCTGCCCTGCTTCATC